CAAGAGGCTGAAGGAACAAGCTTAGAGTGTGGGGAGAGATCCCGTGGATGCAGCGTTGTGCCTATCCCACTAATCTGGAGTTAATAAACACTGGGGTGTCTGTAGTTCGCTGAAACTCCTGTCTTGCGTCTTTTTTCTTCAGTGCAAAGTTGGGCTCCCTCGTGAGGTTTGGGCTTTGAGAGAATGTGGGCTCTTCCCTCGCTTGTAAATGTGTCTCTTGGAGGGGAGGCTGGCAGAATTGAAAAAGGGAACTGATTGTCCCTTTTTACCCAGCAAAATTTCTTTTCTGCCACAGCGTTGCAAAGCTGGTGTTTTGCTCAGCACCTTCTCTCCGTGCTGATGCAGCAACACGTTGTTGACTCAGGCTCTGTGAGACACAACAGGTAATGGCAGTAACACAAGTGTTGCCTCACCAAGTTTGGGGCAAGGGCTGCAGCACAGACAGTACAAACTGCCAGGAGCTAAATCTCCTACCATTAACAAAGTACCCCAGGAGACACAGTGCCTTCATTCTACTTTGGACTGTTTGTGCTTTGAACATGTGGTAGAAGGACCAGCAATAGCCAACTTCCCTTTTTTCAACATTTCTCACCACTCTCTCTCCTTTTTCTGGCCCTAAATCTGATCCACTTTCCTGGCATGTAAAGAACAGCACATTTCAAGTACCTGTCCACAAACCTCCTTTCTGTTTGCTCCTTTACTTCCTGCTGTGTTTCTGTTTTGGCTCCTGTCTCACTCTCCAGATCTGTTGCCAGAAAATCACTTAAGCACACCGAGTTGACAGGCTAAAGGAACAAGAAAGTTATAGGGAACCCCAAGACTCAGCACCTACAGAGTCAGAAGAAGGGAGTTTTCCTCATCCCCAACTTGTAGTTCCTTTTCCTCCCATAAATTTCCTTAATCTGTGCCCCTCATTTTCCCTATTTGTATCTTCCAGCTCCTGCTAAGTACCTTCAGAGGCCTCAGCTGAACAGATTTCCTCTTGCTCCCAGCAGCAAATGTCTGGCATTGTTCCTCATGGCCAGTGCTGAGTGACACAGGGCCCTGCCAAACTGAAAGGAAAAGGGAAGTTTTAGCAGATTATCACATCTCAGTCTCTTACTTAAATAAGTAGTTCATAGTCACTGGTACTTCCCACCCATCCACCCCTTTCTTAAAATTGTGAAATAATTTAGGTTGGAGGGGCCTGTGAAGTTCCACAAACATTACAGGAGTGCGTGGTATCTTCAGACTTTCACCATCACCCTACTATGACTCATTGTGATTTGGGTTTTGGTCTCAAATCCCTACTCATTACAGACCACAGGAAGGCACTTAAGCCAAGAATTCATGTAGGCTGATTATCAAGTGGTTTGTTCTGGATGTAAATCTAGTACTCACTGTTTTTTCAAACCTTCAGCAACCTCCTGTCACAGCCTGGAGCACAGGCACCCATAAAAGATGAACATGACAAAAGAAGCACTAAAAGTGAGGGACTGCAGAAGAGGAAGAACCTGGCAACAAAATGGTTCAAAGAGGTGTTCTCAGTAGACATCATGATGCTCTGTGCATCTGGAAGTCTGAAAGAGGAAAGGAAATAATCATAAGTGGAAATGTTTGAGAAGCAGTGAATTAATTGCTGGCTAGGTACAGAGTCTGAGCCCTGTTCTGGACTGATAGTGGAGTACACTGGAAATGCAGGTGCAAAAGGTCCTTGCTGGGCAGCCAGAGGCAGCATCCTCTCTGCTCCAGAAAGGAGCATTCCCATGCACATCCATGCAATCCCACCGTGCCCCAAGAGGGGGTGGATAATGGGACAGAGAAAAACATAGGAAAGACACCTGGACTAGGTCCCTTCCCACATGAATTATCCCAGGTCCTGCGGCAACAGGGCTGGTTAAAGGGCAGAAAACGGGGGATGCCATTCCTGAACCTCCTCTAAGGCATCCGACGGCGCACAGGGACAATGCGCGCCGTGGTCTCGCACTCCGGCACAGCAGGACCAGCCTGTGCGAGGGGAGGGGCGACAGGAGAGGACACACCGAGGGAGAGGGGGCAGGAGCGGGGACATCGAGGGAGGGGGGAGAGGAGCGGGGACATCGAGGGAGGGGACACAGGAGCGGGGACACCGAGGGAGGGGACAGAGGAGCGGGGACATCGAGGGAGGGGGGAGAGGAGCGGGGACATCGAGGGAGGGGGCACAGGAGCGGGGACACCGAGGGAGGGGACAGAGGAGCGGGGA